AGGGTCGATTACCCATTTTGGCAACCTCTATAATGCGCGATCGTCATTCTCAATTTCTAAGCCATATCGTCGATCGTTGTTTCCCCGTAACATTATAATAGTTTAATTTATTGTTAGAAATATCAGAACATGTACAAGATATTTATAACATGTTTTTTCAATTTAATAAGTTATTATATTATTTTAATATATTTGAGTAATATAAGATATAATTGATATTTTATATATTGTAGATCTTTAATAGGAGTAAACTAATTTCAGTTTTTATATACATATATAAAAATAAATAAGAATTAATAACTAATCAAAAGATTATATGCAATAATTTGATACTAATTATTATTAACAGAAAATAAAAATTCTAAAAAAATAAAATTTTGTCTCTTGACTTAAAATGTTTTAAGAAAAAAAGTATTATTTTGTTTTGTGTTGTATATGTTTGTATAAGGAAAGGCTAACTATAAAAAGAGTTTTTATTTGTTTTTTTTTTCTATGTTATTAATTAGAACTATTGCTTGTCTAAATTTTCTTAAATGAATCATTGTTGAAATCTCAAGAACCAATTTGATTTCTATATCTTTACTACTTAATAACAGTTCTTGAACTATATTTACCTTTAAAAAAACATATTCTAATGATCAAAGTTCTTTAAAAGAAAAAAACATCTTAAAAAAGCAATTTTTATAAAAGAAATTATATATACTGTATAAAAGAGTTTTTTTTTATGAGTAAATATATTCTATTTATATTTTAATTTAAAAACTATTGAAGTAATTATTTACTAAATTAAGAAATAGAGCCTTTTTAATAATTTAATTTTATATTTAAATCTAATAAAAAAAATTTTTTTTAATAAAATATAATTAAAAAAAAATTTTTAAAGTTAAGAATATGTTTTTTATTAATTTAATTTTTTAATATTATAATAATAAAAGTTTTTTGTAAAAAAAAAACTTTTTTGATTGCCTATACAATTCTAAAAAATTATCAAAAAAGAAAACTAAAATTTTTTCTTATAAAAAACAATTATATAAAATTCCTGATATATTTTCTCCAAGGGCTTTTCAATATTTGAATATACTATAAATATATCTTCCTGGACATTCTTATTATTTATATTTCAAAACTACTTGCAGTCATTATTTTCAAAAATATTAAAATATTAAAAATACATGTATTTAGTCCAGTAACAACTTTTAATCTTTCTTTTTTTAATAACTCTCATCAAAACTTTCAAAATAATCTCTATCATTTTTATCACTACACAAAAAACCAGAATTTTTTTATCATTAATTGTTACAACAATTACAATTTTGAAGCTGATATACTTTAGTAATCTCAATACTTTTATAAACTTTTAATATCTCTTTAATCTAACAGAGGAAGATAAAATTATTATTATAGAAAAAATGATAAAATTAAATCTTAGCTATAGTCTATACTATATATGTGGTGTAAATTATTTTACTGTTGACACAATTTTCAAAATCCTCAAAAATAATTGCATTATAACTCAATTATTTATATGTTTTAATAGTGACTCAAATAATTGCGTCAAATAATTGTGTCAATTGCATCAAGGATTTATGAATTTCAGCAACATGTATAGTTTATACATGCTCTATAACAAATTAAACATTAATATTGACAAACAAGCCAATATCTTTTTTATTAAAAAAAAAAACTGAAATGCACTTGCTCCCATTAAACATTTCTACTCTAATTGGGAAAGCAATTAATAACAATACTATACAGAATGATTATCCAAGTGAAATATCTAATGCAATAACCTTTAAGCACAACAATAATCAATTTAGTCTCATACAATTCAAAACAATAATCCCAATACAACAAATACAATATATGATCACACTATACTACATCAGGAAATTTTTGGCAAAGATCTTTAAAGATGTTTGGGCATAGACCTTCAGAGAACCTTCATTCTTATTAAAAGACTTTGAAGTGAAAATTAATATATTAAACTTCAGAGATCTTTGATTTAATTTACTATAATAATAATAAAATATATTTATATTTACATATTATAATTTAATAATATTAAATTTTAAATTTATTGGCTTATAAAATTATTATTATTATTATTTAATTCTTGTTTATATTTATTTATTTGTTTAAATATTTGCTCATTGCCAAAGTCCTTCTTTCTAATTCTCTATTTTCCAATAATTGTCCCAGATTATTTTTAGTATTTTTAAGTCCTCCAGATTATTTTCTATAGTAATAATTTGTGGATCAGTCATTTCTTTATCTTTGCTACTTGAATTTTCTTCTTTGAATTCAAATTCTTTTTTAATTCTCTCCTAAAAATATTATTAGCAATAATTTATAATACTTTAAAGATTTTTAAAACTTACCTTATTTTTTTCTACTTTGCTTTTAATTAACATTTTATTTATTTAAATACTTTTATTATTCAGATTAAGAACTGTTTGACATACTGCAATGATGAATGCCACTTGTTCCTCAGAGATATCTTTCTTTGACCAGAACTTTTTCGAGAATACAGATCATAATTCTTTATATCTCTCTTTTTGAATATTTGTAAAGGTTTTCAAAGCATTCAGCCATTTTCTGAGATTGTTTCCAGGTCAAAATGTTGGTAGCAGAGGCATTTGTATTTATTGTATCCAAAAATCTTTTGCCAAAAACTGAAAATATGACATAGTTTCATGAAGTGATCGATGCTGTTTTATGAATATGTTTTTTATAATATGTTTTCCAGGGTTTTCTTATGAGACCTTTGTAGAACTCTAAATGTTCTTGCTAAAAAAATTTCTTGGTTGTTTGGCAAAAATCTTCATGATCTGGATATATTTTTTCAAAAAATACTTGTTTTGCAATACTCTTAACCATGTGCTATTTAAATAAAATATAAGTTTTTAAAAACATTTGAAAAATTCAAAATAAACCTTACCTTAATAAAATTATGTTTGGTAATTAAATGTTAACTTACATGAATTTTATTTTCTAAGCAGGTAACCAATTTCTAATAAAGCCATTGAAAAAATTATAAAGTCTTATGAAGGCCTTCATAAAAATCGACCAAAAATATATAAGTTAGTATTTATTTTAAATTATAACAAATTTTTAAATATATCTAAAGTTTCTTTGAAAGTTTTTCATGCTGGTGTGTCAAAATAAAATTCAAATAAATGCCCAGGGAATCTCAATTGCTTCCAAAATGTTTCTGTTTTTATTTCAATAGGAGTCAAGAATCTTTATTCAGTAGCTGGCCCTTGGATTTCCTAAGTGCTTTTTGACTTTTTAGAACACTTTAAAGTGTTTTCTTAACTTTTTCCTTTTTCTTTTTCAGCAAAGCTCAAAATAAGTTTTTGAAACATTTTATGCATTTCTTGTTTTTTGTTTGACATTAAAGAAAATGTGAGAACTTTAGAGATCTTATATAATACAAATTCCAAGAAATTATATCATATTATGACTGCAAACTTTTCATTATCAATTTTTAAAAATTATTTCATAAATATAAATTATTAAGTCATTATATGAAAATGAAATTATTTTATCATTTTATTAACACAATTATTGTAACTTATAAATTAAATTTTTGATTGGTCAAAATTAATCAATATTTTATTGATTAATTTTACATATTTTCTAGATTCCTTCAAAGGTTTTTAAAATGAATTACAAATGTCAATTTTATTAATATACCTTTTTAAGACATTTCTCTTATACAAGACATGTTAACAAATATATTTTAACTGTGAACTCTAGTAATAAGTCTAATAAAAATTTAAATGAGTCAAAATTTCTTATTATTTCAAATAATATTGAAGATATTGTTAGGGGTTATAACGGTGAGTCTGTCGCTATGTCGCAATTGTCTATTATGTAATGTCAAAAGAGATGACAAGATGTGGCACGAGGTAAGTAAAAGTGTTAGATAATAGTCTGAGTTTTATAGTAAAAGGACGGTATTTTATTGTTGCTTTTTCTCTAGTACATTCCTCTCTTTATATACATGTTAAAAAATCCCAAAAATCCCTCAAGCCCCAATTAAACCCCAATTGGACAAGGATTATATATGTTGAATCTATCTAATTTTTTTGATCCCTCTTACAGTCTCCCCGGCTTAGCTGCAAGTTCTACGAGCTAGCCAATCACTAACCTACGAAACTCTTCCTTTTTTAGTTGTCGGATCACGTTAAGATTAAGGTAAGTAGTACGATAAATTTGTGCAACACCATATCCGCTGAATAGGGCATATATGCGAGTTGACGTGACGTAGTAGTGTTTCGAAACAAAGGAAACTCTTTCTTGTTGAGTAAGCAGCATTCCGAGATAGTAGGCATATACCAAAGACTGGATACGTTGTTGTGTACGTTGTAGCCAACGTAAGTGTCGATATATGCTATGCATTTGTCCTTGTACGTTCATTTGGTCTCCTAAGGGTTGGGTTACGACTTGCACCATCTCGGGTTGGGTTTCTAAGAGGTTATGGATAATACGAGTAATATCGGAAGCTATTATAGGTTTCGTTCTTCTTTCTTTATTCTTCTTATACTTATTTCTTACTATCCTTACGATTCCCTTATTGTAGCATGGGTCGCTTATAGTATTTTTTTAGTAGATTTCGATTCAGCGGTATCTTAATGACTTGGCCATCCATCATCCGAATTTGGTAGGTTTCTTGGGATCGTATGTTATGTATCAGGTAGGGGCCGTTCCATTTTGGTTCTAGCTTGTGGCTTTTTGAATATTCAAGTGCGACGCAGTATATTAACACTTTATCACCTATAAACAAATCGTGTCGTAGGTCTTGTCATAGATCTTGTTGTTGTTTTGTTTGTCGTTGTAATTGGCAGACATGTTGGACAGTGGTAGTCCTTTCAGATGGCGTAATGTGAATTAGGTGGAACAGTCAGTGTAGTATAGTTCCCTCCAAGTGTACTTCCTCTTGAATAGGTAATTGGGCTTTACGTCCATATACGAGATAAAAGGGAGTTAGCTTAGTAGTTGCTTGCCTCGCAGTCCAATAAGCAAAAAGGGTGGAAGGTATTATTGTGTCCCAATCAGTTGCTTTGGTTACTAATTTTGCGATCGTCTCACATAAGGTCCGATTATATCTTTCGACCAAACCGTTAGTTTGTGGATAGTAGGACGTCAAGAAGAAGTGTTTTACGTCGAATTTTTCCAGGAATAGTTTCATCATACGATTCCGAAAATGAGTACCGTGATCTAATAGTAATATCTCGGGGCATTCGTGTCGGCAGACTATTTCTTCGTAAATGAAATCAGCAACGTTTTGTGCAGTAGCGGCTTCCATGGCTCGGGCTTCTGGCCACTTGGTCATATAGTCAGTTGCTACAATAATATATCAATTCCTTCGTGGGATCACAGGTAAGGGTCCTACTATATCTATTCCAACCTGATAGAAAGGTGACTCGATTGGTATTGGGTAATAAGATCCAGTGATTCGCTTTCTTCCTCGACATTGGCATGGGTCACAGGTCTGTACGTAAACTCGAATATCCTCATACATCTGGGGCCAATAGTATAGGTCCCTGCTCTTGTTGAACATTTTGTCTTTTCCCAGGTGTTCCCCTAACAGGTAAGTATGTGTCAGGTATAACACTGGTTCAAGTTCATGCTTCTGTAGCACTCGTAGGAGTCATCCCCTCGTTCATCTGTCCTTTTTATATAACATTCTATTTTTACTGACGAAGAAGTAGCTCTTTAATTATAGGTCGCGTTGTTGACGAGGTGTGAGTGTTTTTGGTAACTGTTGGTGTTACAGAAAATTGTTAAGATGACGATAGTGTATCGGATCCATTTTTTTTTTTTTTTTTAATAAAATATGCCAGGACTAGTCTGGATTTAAGCTTTATGTCAGATTTTTTTTTTCTTAGTCTGGTCGTCTAGTGTAGTGTTATTTGTTGGGTTACGTATATGTTGTGAGAGTTAAATTCTCACGAGTTGATTCTTCTTGCTTCGTTTGGGGTCGGGTATTCTAGATAATGCGTCAGCGTTCGAGTGTTTTCTTCCAATATGATGTATAATAGTATAGTTGTAGGGCTGCAACCACAGTATCCACCTTGCACGTCGTCCTTTGAGTTTCATTTCTGCTAGCCATTTTAATGTGGAATGGTTGGTGACGAGGAGGAACAGCTTATAGCCTAAATAGTGATGGAAGTATTCTACAGCCTATACTACTGCTAAGCATTCTAGTTCCATAGCAGCGTAATTTTTCTCTGCTTTATTTAGTCCTCTACTGGCATAGGCAATCCATATTTCTTGCGATTGTCGTCTGTTTGGACTAAGACCACTCCTAACCCGATCCCAGACGTGTCGGTGTGTACGTAGAATGTTTTATTAAAATCGGGATAGCGTAATATCGATGCTTTGATTAAGTGGACCTTGAGAGTGTCGAATGCGTATTGTTGTTCTTTCTTCCATTTATATGGTTCATTTTTCTATAATAACTGGTATAGCGGTCGTGCAATAGTGACGAACTTTTGTATAAAGTGTTGGTAATATGAGGCTAATCCGATAAATCCCCTGAGTTGCCGTATATTTTTAGGAGTCGGAAAATCTCGTACTTTCGAAATTTTTGCTTCATCAGACCTAATTCCTTCCTTTTCTACTACGTGCCTTAGAAAGGTGATTGTTGGTAGGAAGAAACAGCCTTTTTCTAGATTAAGCCTTAGATTGGCACTTCGCAACTTCTCAAATATTTGCTTCAGGTGTTCAATATGTTCATTTATCGTCTGTAAGTAAATGATGATGTTGTTAAGATATACTGCTATGAAATTCCCAATGTGTTCACGTAGAACCATATTCATCAGTCGTTGAAATGTTGCTGGAGCATTGCACAATCCGAACGGCATTACTCTAAATTCGTACATTCCGAATTTAGTGACGAATGCTGTTTTTTCTTGGTCTTCCTATCTCATGGCTACTTGCCAATAACCACTGGTTAAGTCCAAGTTAGAGAATATTTTGGCATTTCCGAAAGTTTCCAACAGGTCATCAATTCTTGGAAGAGAGTAAGTATCTCGTTTTGTCACTATATTTAGTTTTTGATAATCAACGCATAGGCGTCTTTTTCCATTTTTCTTTGGGACTATAACGATAGGGAAAGCCTACGGGCTAACGAATGCTTGGATCAGGTCCTGTTCTTCCATTTGCTTCAGTTCATTTTTTACATATTCATTCTCATCTGAGAACATCCTATATGCGTTCTGTTTGATCAGTTTGGTGTCTCCGGTGTCAATTGTGTGCTGAACGATACTTGTTCGTCCTAACCCTTCGAGGCCTTCGATAAAAAGGTCTTTTTCGTTCTTGAATAGCTCCCGTACGTCACCCTTATCCTCTTCTCCGAGCTCAGTATTTTTCTCTATTAGACTTTCGATTTGTTTCTTTGAGGTTAGTTCAGGTTCTTTTTCCCCTTCTAGCGTAGGGATCTCTTCCACATTAGTGAGGTATATTGCTGGACTTTCCATTTCTTTCCAAGGATTCTCGTATAGTTCTTCGTCCGAAAGCACGTCGCTAGTATAGTAACCATCTCTTTTGTCTACTTTTTCTTCCTCATATTCGAATTCGTCAAATAAGTCAGTCTCTGCACTTTCCTGATCGCTCTCAGATTCCAAGAGGGACTCTGTACCATGGTGGAAAATCAGCATTTCTATAGCTTTCCCTGCGTATTGTAAATATAGCTTCTTTTCATCGAAGTGAATTCTGGCCTTAGATTTCTGGAACCAATCTGTTCCTAGTAGTAGCGTTTCGTCCCTTGATTCCACGACTTGTAGGTC